GCCCCCCGTACCTCACCCGGGGGAACTGCGATCCCCCGCGATTCCCCCCGCAATGACCTCTGCTTCTCCTGACACTGATATAAATAACATCCCATTAAGCCTTCATTAAAAAGACATGACATTTTTCTCCAGGCAGTTGGCAACTGAATTTAAAATGCATAAAAAGTCTGATCTTGTGAGCCAGTTTGGTGTAGTGGTTAAGTGTGCGGACTCTAATCTGGGAGAACCGGGTTTGATTCCCCACTCCTCCACTTGCACCTGCTGATGTGACCTTGGGTCAGTCACAAGCTCTGGCACAGCTGTCCTTGAAAAAGAGCAGTTTGTGTCAGAGTTCTCTCAGCCCCACCCACCTCACAGGGTGTCTGTTGTGGGGAGGGGAAGGGAAAGGAGTTTGTAAGCCGCTCTGAGACTCTAAGTGAAGGGCGGGGTATAAATCCAATCTCTTCTTCTTCTTCTTCTGAATAAGTCCCTCCCTGCTTCCTTCCTTTATAACTTCTCCCTCAGAGCATCAGCGTCTGTTTTTGCTGTGACAGGAGTTACATACATTCTTCTGGGGAGATAATGGTGATAGTAACAGCCAAAGCTGTTAGTCCAGCACAAACGAATGCTGGAAGAGATCCCATCTCTTTACACAGAGAGGTTCTGAGACTCTGGATGTTGTTCACAAGTTAGAATTTGTGTAAAGTGTGCAGGTTAAAAAGAAAAACAGTTATAAATCATTGAAGACCTCACCTTTTTACAGCTTTCGAAGACATCGATGTCCTTAATGGCAGTTACAGTTGAAGGGAACCATGGTATTCCATAGATCCAGCCCACAGGCAGCCAATCGTGCACAGCCTCACTGCTTCAGGTTCATCTGATTGGTCTTCTTTGACTCTGGCTCACTCATGGTCCAGGTGGATAACTGTTCCACCACAAAATCACCAGTTTGGTATTCTTGATAAGTCAATCGATCAGCGTTCCGGCCAGGAGGTACAAAATCAATGATGTATGGCTTATTCTACATAGATGCACATTTCTGCACAATGCATACATTGTTTTCCTATTTACCTGCATGAGACCTTATCTTTCAAAAATGGTTTCTGTATCTTCTCTTTATCCAGATGTTCTCTATCACTTTTGTGCACTAAATACTTGGTACAGGCGGTAGCCAGTGCTGATGTAATCATTGTGATACCTGTTTTGCTTGTTGAATATATTAGAGTTACCATATTTTGAAAAGCAAAAACGAGGACATATTTCCTGACTGACTACTTCAAACAACTGATCACTATGACAGATTTCATTTTAAATACCCCTACTATTTAAGCTGAAGCTTGCCTCCACTGGGGGTAAGGTAAAGGTAAAGGTTCCCTTGCTCGAAAGCCAGTCGAATCTGACTCTAGGGTTGCGGTACTCATCTCCGTTTCAAAGCCGAAGAGCCAGCGCTGTCCGAAGACGTTTCCGTGGTCATGTGGCCGGCATGACTAAACACCAAGGCGCACGGAACGCTGTTACCTTCCCACCGAAGTGGTACCTATTTATCTACTTGCAATTTCTTGCTTTTGAACTGCTAGGTTGGCAGGAGCTGGAACCAGAGACGGGAGCTCACTCCGTCATGTGGCACACTCGGGTCTCGAACTGCTGAACTACCGACCTTCCACAGCCTGCAGTTCAGCGTCTTAACCACTTGAGCCACCGCTCAACTGGGGGACTTCTTCAGTAGTCTCCCATCCAAGTACTAACAAGTTAGATCTGAGATCCAAAAAGATCAGGCTACCCTGGGTCATCCAGGAGTTGTGTACCCCCGGGCTAGAAGATAGAAATTGATGACAGCTGTTTGGTAGGTGCCTGGAAATTCTACCCCCATTCACTATTTCCATATATAAATATGGGTCAACAGGATTACACAGGAAAATATTTCCCCGAGATTTAGGAGAGGCTATCTAGGATTCTCCTCCCACCCATCCACCCACCCAGTGCATTCATTAAGCAAGCCAAGTCTCAGCAATTTAATCTGCTGTGTAGCATTTAATTTGTAAAAAGATTGGTACCGAGGCTCACGCTTGTAAGGAAGTCCTAGGATACGACAAACAAGCTCTGCTCCTTAATCTCAGGTAAACAAGGACTGCATGTAGCTATCATTTGCTGGTTGAATTTGTATCTTGCTGTTCCTCTGTAAAGCTTAAAGCAATGCTTCAACCTCAGAACAACTTTGTGCACTAAGTCACACCAAGAGATAGATTTCAACCCAGTGAGTATTGTAGCTAAGCAGAGAGATGAATCTGAGTTCCCACATCCAAGACCAACAGTCTAGCAACTATACCACACTGACTTATGGTTGTTCAGTGTTGAAAGAGATGTGTTCTATACACAATTAGAAGCATTCTCTTCTCTGTTCGGATCATAGGATAGCAGTGCCAACTAATGTCAGTGTGGTGTCGTGGTTAAAGTAGTATCTGGGAGACTGAGGTTTGAATCTCCACTCTGCTGTGGAAGCTTACTGGATGTCATTGAGCCAGTCACATGCTCTCATCCTAGCCTAACCTACCTTACAGGGTTTTTGTAAGGATAAAATGGAGAAGAGAACAATGTTAGCTGCTTTGGATCTCCATTGGAGGAAAAGGCAGGATATAAATGAAATAAGTAATTGTTGTTGTTGTTGTTCAGTCGCACAGTCGAGTCCGACTCTTCGCGACCCCATGGACTAGATCCCGCCAGGCCCTCCTGTCTTCCGCTGTCCTCTGAAGTTTGCTCAGTTTCATGTTCGTTGCATCTTTGACACTGTCTAACCATCTCATCCTTTGCCGTCCCCGTCTTCTTTGACCTTCAATCTTTCCCAGCATCAGGGTCTTCTCCAGTGAGTGCTCCCTTCTCATTTGGTGGCCAAAGTATTTGAGCTTCAGTTTCATTATCTGGCCTTCCAGGGAACAGTCAGGGTTGATTTCTTTTAGGATTGACTGATTTGATCTTCTTGCAGTCCAAGGTACTCTCAAGAGTCTTCTCCAGCACCATAGTTCAAAAGAATCTATTCTTCGGCGCTCGGCCTTCCTTATAGTCCAACTCTCGCAGCCATACATGACTACTGGGAATACCATTGCTTTGACCATGCGGATTTTTGTTGGCAGGGTGATGTCTCTACTTTTTATCATGCTGTTTAGGTTCGCCATCGCTTTCCTCCCAAGTAGCAGGCGTCTTTTAATTTCATGGCTGCAGTCACAGTCTGCAGTGATTTGGGATCCCAGGAACGTGAAGTCTGTCACTACTTCCACGACTTTAATACAATAATACAAGAAATAAGTAATACAGAATAATAAACGCAATGCCAATACCTGACATTGATTACTGAAACATTCTAGGGTGAACTGTTGAAATCCTACATGGTAGCTACCAATGCTCCATCTGAGCTGTGGAGTCTTGTGAGCAGAAATTCTACTTTGTGAGCTACTGGCACTAAGGTTCTGAGCAATTGATTTGGCTACCGCATAAATTAGTTTGCTTTGGAGCCATCCCTTCTGAGCTAAGACAAAAATCTGTGAGCTAAAGGCTAAAAACTGTGAGCTAGCTCACACTAACTCAGCTTAGAAGGAACACTGGTAGTTACACAAACCTACCTAAAGGATATGTGGGAACCCACATTTAAACAGTATCGGGAGGGGGGGGGGAGTACTGGTGGGGAGTGAAATATTGCCCTTGTTTACCCAGGCAAATGTATCAATATACTCACTTCACAGGCTTGGAACAAAGTTCAGATTGAAAAGAAGCCAAACTTGCCCCACCTAGGACATATAACATATCTTCCAGCTAGGCTGAGGTCATGAACACTCCTTCTTGGGTGTAGTTGTTCTGCAGTTCCCAAGACCATTTATTTTGAAAGTTTTTGATCTTGCCTCTCTGTATGCTCAAGGTGATGGTTTGGGATGTGTATTACAATGACTGGGGATGAGTACTGTCATATGTACTAGAGAGTAAGTCCCAAGTAATCTAGCACTGGATGGAGTGACATGGCTGTTCGCCTTCAGTGGGGGAAGACATCCAAACTGGTGAGGTCATGTCTCCTCTTGCTCCAGTCAGGGCTATGCAAATTTGTGTAGATTGTATTGATGCAGAGCGAGGCTGACCCTCCAGTTTCGATAGCCCTGCCACTCCAGCAGGACACTTCACCCTAGCTCTGCTTTCTTAGAGAGCCAGTTTGGTGTAGTGGTTAAGTGCACGGACTCTAATCTGGGAGAACCGGGTTTGATTCCTCACTCCTCCATTTGCAGCTGCTGGATGACCTTGGGCAAGCCATAGTTCTGGCACAGCTGTTCTTGAAAAAGAGCAGTTTCTGTCAGAGCTCTCTCAGCCCCACCTACCTCACAGGGTGTCTGTTGTGGGGAGGGGAAGGGAAAGGAGTTTGTAAGCTGCTCTGAGACACCTTTAGGTAGTGAATGGCAGGGTGTAAATCTAATCTCTTCTTCTCTTGCCTTATTGGTATGGAAGATGGAAAAGCCTTGAAGAAAGGCCCCATCACTGGTCTTAAAAAGAAAAAAAAAGACCATTAAGACAAGCCTCTCCTGCCTGATGTTCCAGGCACTGGAGGCTGGCCAACGGCAGATACCTCTATAGCTGCACAAGCTGCCGACGGTGCTGGCAGACCCGAAGCATTGGGTTGTTCCACAGTCGATATCCGGAAAAGCCTGGCAGAGATCTACTGGATCAGAGCCTAGATGCACTCTCTTGGAGTCTCTAACCTTGTTGGTATGGAAGATGGAAAGGCCTTGAGGAAGGGCCCCATTGCCAGTCTTAGAATAGGGAGACACCTGAGGCTTCAGACATTGTAGACTGACCAATGGTGGATGCATCTGCAGTGGCATGGGCAGTTGTTGGAGCTGGCAGACCTGAGGCTTTGGGTCATTCTTAAGCCAGCCTGTGCTGGAAAAGTCTGGTAGAGCTCTACTGGGTCCAAATAACAAGGAGTAGATCACAGTGGGTGGTCTGCCCCATACAGACGTGGAGGCTTCTGGGCCTACAGGGAGCAAGAGGATTGAAACTGAAGGTGAGATCCTCCCCCCGATAAATAGGAGCAGTGGGATAAGGACCTCCAATGTGAACGAGGGGCCGATCCAAGCAGGGGCAGCAGTGCGGCAGAGCAGTTTCCCCTCCTTCAAGCCTCTCTGAGGCCTTTCCCAGTGGGTTGGGCAGTTCAGGAAAATTCCAGTAGGGTGGCCACTCAGGTTTTTTCTACATTTTTTCTGCCCTCTGCAGATTGGAGGACACAGGCCTTTAGTCTGGCCTGGGCCTCCCCCAACCCCGTGCGTATGCAACCAGGAATCATATTGGCCTTTCTGTGGCTAGGACTACCAGGCCAAATGGTGGTTGTGGCTGATCACACCCATAAGTACGCTAGCACTGGTGACATCAGGAGCCTTTGAGAGCTAGTCAAAAGAGATGTTCCCTTTCTCCCTCACCATGTGTGTCAGGCTTGAGTTTGGGGGTGGAGGTGCTCCCTTCATCCATAGGATCTATGGCAACAAGCAGTGAAAAAGAGGAAGGGGAATGGTCAGAAATTTCTCCAAGGACTTTCCTAGAAGAATTCTTCTAGGCATTTCCAGCCGGAACATTTCCAGAGATTAAAAAAAGTGTCTTTTCCTTCTCTTAACTGCTAATTTGCTACAACAGAAAAAACCTAATCATTGGCTTCAACCAGTTTAGATACTAGAGGTTTTAAGAGACCATTCAAAGGGTCCTCAGTTCGTCCATTCCCTGAATTCTTTGATTACGTGCTAAAGGCAGAATGTGCAGTTCCAGGTAATGGCACTTTCTTGCAGGCATAGGAAGAAAGGCCTTCGCCTTTCCAGCAGGAAAGCATGGAAGACTTCAGGTCCCTCTGCTAGATGTTCCAGTGGTAGTCTTACATTCAGAGCAGTTTTGCCTAAGATGTGGACAACGTGTTTAATAATAGTAATGAGACGGCCAGAAGGAATCCCATGAAGCAGCCGCTCTGACAATCTGAGCCCCTGCCGTGCTCTCAAATTTCACCAGGGTCATCATGGTTTGAGCTGATAACCTGCCTCAGAAGCCAGACACTGACCCCTTGATGCTTAAGAGATCCATCCTAAAGACTGAAAGGGTTGCAAAATTTGCAGCAGATGCATCCCAAGAGGCCGTGCAGTTCGGTGCCAGAGCACAGGCTACCAATATAGTGGTTAGAAGGAAGCTATGGCTAAAGCTTTGGAAGGCAGACCCTCTGTCTATTTCAGATTTATCTCCATTGAAAACAAAACACACACACACAAAATGGGAGCAAAAGCATTTTGGGAGCTCCTGCACCTTCGGCTATAGGTCCAGATTCCAGCAGAGACAGTTCCCTCCTAACAAACAGAACAGGAATCAATAAAACAAAGACCAACCACCTGACTTATATGGTTGGGGGTCGACTCCAGCAGTTCCCCCACATCTGAATGGAGCCTATGACTGACCAGTGGGTACTCTCCATCATCTGGAACTAGAAGGGACACAGGATAGAATCCCCCTCCCCATCACTTCTGTGCTTCCCCACTTCCCAAGACAGAATGGAGACATCTTTTTTCTGTTGTGACTTATTCAACATTTAGTGCTCACAGGGGCAGTGGAACCAGTGCCATTAGAACAGCATTTCCATGGGATTGAATCCATTCTATTTGTAGTCCCAAAAAGATCTGGGGACTGGAGAGCAATTCTAAATCAAAGAAAGTTGAAGGTATGGGTAAAGAAGTGTTAGTTCTGGTTTGAATCACTTCACTGCATTCTACAGAGTATTCAGTAGGACAAACACATGATGTCCTTAGAACTTTGAGATGCTTACCTGCATATTCCACCTTCCAGGCTTTCCTTTTTTGATTTTCAGGGCCAGCATTTCCAATACAAGGCCTTACCCTTTCGGCTGGCATCATCTCCGAGGGGGTTTACCAAGGTCCTGGTAGTTCTAATAGCCTATCTACGACAACAAGGAATCCACCTTTATCCTTACCTGGATGATATCCTATGTAGAGCCAAGGAGGCAGAGAAAGTGAGCTAGGACACCACTATTCAGTCTCTTCAGTCACATGGCTGCCTGATCAGTGTGTAAGTAAATAAATAAAAAGTCATCTCACACTCTCCAGAGATATAGTCCACTTAGATGAGGATGGCCAAAGTGTTTCTACCTGCAAAGAAGCAGGTAAAATTGTTGGAAGGGGTGAAAGAAATCTGGCAGAGGTCAGTGGCCCTCATGCACTGATTGACAGTACCGGGACTGATGATGTAGTCCATAGATCTGATTCCTTGGGCCCACTTCCATGCCAGGCCTTTACAATGGGCTCTCCTTACTTATCAGAAGGACATACAACACAAAAAGGGACTACAAATAAGTCAAGATACTGCCCTCCCCTGAAGAAGTCACTAAACTAGTGGTCAAAACCAAATCAGACAAGAGGAGTCGGTTTCCTCCAGCCTCCTTACCTGATGGCAATTACGGACACCAGCAGAAGGGACCAGGGAACACACTGCAAGTATCAGATTGTCCACGGCAGATGGAGCTCGTTGGAAGAAACTTGCTGGAACTTGGGACAATCAAAGTAGCACTGATTGGTTTCCAGAACCAGGGCCAGCTCCAGGTTTTTTTGTACCCTAGGCGAGGTTACCTTCTGGCGTGCCCCCCCCGTGCGCCCACCAATTACAGGGTTGCCAACCTCCAGGCAGGGCTGGGGGGGGTTCGTCTCTGCAGGAGGAGTCCTGATGTAATGGACTTTCTCTTCTCTCTCTCCCCCCCCCTTCACCTGTCAGCAGTTCTCCCGTTTGGACAATGTCTTGGACAGGGGGTGGCTTTGAGAAGAGTGGGAGGAGGGGGAGGGATAAGCCCGAAAGAAGCTCCCCCCCATCCCATCGCATCCCATCTGCTTTGCAATGAGGAAGTGTGCGCCTGCCTGCCTGCCTGCCGCCCCATGTCTGGCTGTCCGTCCATCTCCTGCTGCGGGGGGGGGGGAGGCAGGAGGGGAGGGGAGGAGACTCATACAAGGAGGGAGTCAGGGAGTTGCTGCATCTCCCCATTCAGACAGCACTGCCTCTGGCTCTTCTTGAACCACTGGAGAGTTGGGGGGGAGAGGTCAACTGACATCCCCCCCATCTCGTGCAGATCAAGGCATCGTGGCGCGCAAACATGCGTGCGCTCATGAGAGCCTGGCTGGCTCGATTCCCCCCCCCCCCGCTCTCTTCGAGGTGTCGTTTCTTCTCCTCCCTCCCTCCCTCCCTCGCAGCTGCCCTTCTGGCCTCCAAGTTGGCGCACGTGCACCCGACGACCTCCCGCTCCCAAAGCCCAACACCCGCCCCCTCCGTTTGTCCCTACCTGGCGCACGTGCACCCGACGACCTCCCGCTCCCAAAGCCCAACACCCGCCCCCTCCGTTTGTCCCTACCTGCCGGAAACGTGCAACCGGGCAGGCATCCTCCAGGCCAGACGTGCGGGAAGCCCAATGAGAAAGAGAGAGAGAGAGTTTTCCAGGAGCACCTCCAAAGAGGCCGTTGCAACCTGGTCCACCTTTTATACCTGTGTGAGACACTATAGGTGGGACCAGTTAAAATCTGTGGAAGCTTCATCTGATTGAAAGGTGTGCAACATAATGGTAGAACAGAATAAAAATAAAAATGAGGATCCCACTTAGGTTGTAGCTTGGGCATATAACCATTTTGGATGACTTCCCCCACTGAAGGAGAATGAAACATTGGAACTTACCTGAAAGTTTCTTCTCTTCAGTGGGGTGAAGTCATCCACACCCCACCGCAAAAAAAAAGAAGAAGTCTAGTCGGATGCAAAGTCCACTATGGAGCTGGGCAGTACTAAGGATGGAGGGTCAAACCTTGCTCTGAGCCAATACAGTCTACACAAATTTGTATGGCCCTGCCTGGAGCAAGAGGAGGAGTGGCCTAACTAGTCTGGATGACTTCCCCACACTGAAGAGAAGGGACCTTCAGGTAAGTTCCAATGTTCCACTTTCAAAGTTGTGGCTTGTTTAGCTCTAAGTAAATGTCGATTAAGATCAGGCTGTGCAGCAAGGCCCGTTGATCTCAGTGATCTCTGAAAACACACGATTAAGAATTTGAGGCGTTTACCTGCTGTCCATCTAATGCAATTCATTTCCCCCAGTAACTACATTTCAGGGTCATCATTACACATCTTTATTAGCAGTGTATAAGGATGAAGAAACAGAACAAAAAATGGCATATTAATATAAAAAAGCAGAACACACTGGACTTGGAACAAAAATGTACATTTTGTTATCAAATACAACCGACCTACACAAACACATCTGCAATTGCTGATTCATTGTACAACAGAAATATTTTCGACATAGTAGCATCTTTCCAGCTTAATTTCTTGAAAAGAATATGGGAACAGAAATACAAAATACAAACGTGAAAGAAAGCTTAGCTGAAAGAACAGAAGTAGGAAATTTGGCACCTTAATATGCAGGATTCTGAGCTCAGATTCTACAGCTAAGCATGTCATTGATTTTATTTGATTCTCAAGGCAGCAGCCCCCTCAGCCACCAGTTTCAGATATCTGTAGGCTGCTGAACAAATGCACGCTAGTGATGCCTCACAGCAAAGCACAGTTGAACTCCAGGGGTTACGTTGCTTGCCATGTTGCATGTTCTTATTTTGCAGCCTGCATGGTTGATGTGCCATCTACTGCTTTAAGGGTGCGTCTTATGCAGGCCAGGCCGAGACACTGCCAGCCTTTCAGTATTCTAAACTGTAACATGTCACCAGTATAGCTGATACGCTCTAGATGTGGGTTGCAATCCTACACGGTTATGCATGCTTAATCTTGCTGGTCAGGTCAAAAGATCCACACCAGCATAGCTGGGTGTTTCTTTCTTTACCCAGCAGGTTCCATATGACAAGTAAACTGGGTTTAAACACAGAAGAGATATAACACAGTTGCGTGTTTTTGAAGGAGGGCTCCTGGTGTGAAAAAGTAAGCAAAGAAGCCATGGCTGTGCACACCTGGAACATACACGGTATAGACTCAGGAGGATCCCAGATCTTGGCTTCAGTGAAGTGCATGCAACTGAGTAAAGGATTGCAGCCCTAGAAACAGAAATAGGACTATGGAAACCAGAATGCTATGAAGGACATTAGCATTTTTATCATTACAAAAACAGACAGGGGAGGATCCTTGGGTTAGGCATGCTGCCTCTTCCTTCTTCCTGTTTCACACACAGCTCTACAATGACAGATTTGCAGTTTAAGAGTTTGGAGTTCTCTCCAAGCCACAAACTATGGTTTCTTTCTTTCTTCCAAATCTGAATTACAAGCCAGGATTAAATCATGGTTTGTAGCCTTGGTTTGGAGGGC